AGGGTAGAAATCGAAAAGAGGTATGAGATTCCATAGTGAAACATGTTATAGAAAGAAGAATGAATGAGACAAAAAGATCGAAAATAACCTTCGATTTTTTCGATGATGAAGTGGTGGTGACTGACTGTTTTTGTTTTCTGGTGAAGGCCAGAGGGTCCGATTCATCTGGGGACTCCCAGCTTGCTTCCTTCTCCTTCTCTTGCACCTTTTCGAAGGCGACTGCCTTAGCAGATTTCGAAACTATCGAGAAATGAAGATAGTTAGTTTCCAAAACACAGAATTAAAAAATTAAGAAAAGGCAGTAAAACCTCACCAAAAGGTGATGGAGTCAAAATTTTGACTCGATCAATATGTATTAGCCAAGGAGGCAGGAGAGCTTCAGGGAGGTTAAGGTAAGGGAAATAAAATAGTCTCGATACAGTAATATCTTTGTTTTTGGGTTTGGGACGTAATATTTCTTTCGAAGTTCTCAATTCTCGAACCCATTTAGGGTGTGTTAAAGGTTTAGCAACTCCAAAGGGAGCATTAGGAAAAGTAGGAAGGCGATTGGGACAATACATTTCAAAAGGGGTCTTTCCTAAGGGATTGATTACTTTGCGGTCTGTTCGATTAGCGGTGGTTTTGTAAGACAGGGAAATAACAGCGTCATAAAAGGTCGATTCTAATCTCAGTGGATTGTAACATATTTGATAAAAATGCTCGAATCGAGTTATTTGGAGATAGTGGGAGTGTTTACCTTTCTTCGCCTTCGATTTGTCCTGCAACACAAGAGAAGGTTGAGCAGTCAGTTTTTGTCGTACCTCATCAAAGGTAGCATGAATACTCGAGAACCATTTGGTCCACCATCGAGAGAAACCCACAGTAGACAGATAATTTGACTCGAAAGCGTAGGGGTAAAAGTGCATCGGGGTTTGTGGTAAAAGCTTAACAAGTTCCCGACTAAGTGTGGATTCTGCTAGTTTGGGTCTTGAGGAGGTATCGAGGGGAAAATAAGGTAAAGACTGGCTCAGACCAAATTGTCTCGAAAAAAGCTGGGGATAGTAAGTCATAAATTTGAAATCTTTAGCCTGAAAACCCGACACCAATATGTCATGGGTCAAATAATTGCTCCACACATCTATCAGTTCTGATTGCAATCCAGGAGTCGAGGCAGGAAACTTTGATTTAAACCAAATCGGCCCCCTAAGTTGGCCATGTATTTGTCCAAGATTCACAGTAAATGGGGCCAAGGTTGAATCGAAGGTGAATTTAGTTAATAAAAAGTGAAGGTATTTACAAAAGGTAGCTTCGTCAGTTTTATGGCGAGGATGGCGAGAAGATAATCTGGCCCCTTCTATATTTACACTCGGGGGGACGGTAGAAATTCGAGGAAGAACGCTTTCAAAAATCGAAGTGAGCCATAACTGTACAAACCAAACGGGGCCAGAAAAGTTCCCCGATGCCTTAGGTGTGTTCAAAATTTCGACAGCCTCGTCGAAAGTAGCATATACATGAGCTAATAGCAGCTTAGCCAAACATATCCTAGGCTGACCTATGTGCAGGATATATGCAAGATCAAACAAATGAGGGGAGATTTGGATGGATCGGGGGCAAAAGACATGGGTACATAGCCAATACACCAAAAATGCTACATGCTCTTCATCAGTAACAGCTATCGAAGGGTCATCAACAAAATGTTTCTCAATGAAATGTCCGTAGGCCTTCGATTCCCAATCGATTTTGGATCTAAAAGAACTACTCGAAGGATATACACCTTTAAAATACTTCTCCCCTATGGGCTTCAACCCAGTAATAGCGGCAATCTCGAAAAGGGTGGGCGACAGAGGGCCACAAGGCAACTCCAAAGCATGTAGATCCTTATTCCATAAGTGCACCGCCGATAAAAACATTGCCATGTCTAAAAACGACAGATCACATCGAGACAGATGCAAAAAGTCGAAAATTCCTACATCTTTCCAATGGGTCCCAAATTTAGTCTTCACCCTATCAAACCACCTAATGAATGAAGGCTTTTTGGAAGGGGGGCCTGTTCTATATACTTTGGAAGTAAGATTCAAAAAATCAACCCTAACTTCAGGTTGATGAACCAAAGCCGGACTAGTAGAAAGATTAAGAGGAGTAAAAACTTCATCGATAGGGCGGAGAGGACCCCCAAAAGCAAAATTTACCCCCTCAGTAGTATAAGGAATAAGTACCTGCGTCTCAGCAATCTTGCGGGAAGCCTCCTCCATTAAAGGAACTGGAGCAAACCTCTGGTTGTTGATCTCCAGCAGGTTACAAGGTAGTGAGGAAAGAGGTGGAACGGAAAAGTCAGATGATTTCGACGAAGTGGCCATTTCAGTTTAGGGGAATAGGAAAGGAAAGGATAACAGATGAGGTAGCAAGGAAGAAGACGAAAGCTCAAGAAAAACGAGGAAAACACAGACAGAAGGTAAAAGTTCGCGTAAAAACCAGGGTAGAGACCAAAGAGAGGTTAAAGGGAAATCGTCTAGGGAGTTGGAAGCGACAGAAGGGAAAGGTAATTAATGTAACTTGTACTGAAAGGCAACAGACTGACGAGACAGCGACGAAAAAGGGAAAAGAGACCTAAAACCCCTTTTAAACCTAAAACCCCAAAAACCCTAAACCCTAAGTCCTGTGGGCCTCCAAATACCAAGGCGGGAATGTTGAAAGAATATAAACAAACTATTCATATTCTTCCAAGGGGCATTTTGTTAGTGTGGAATCGAGAAGTCTGATCGAGAAACGAATTGAAAGGGAACTTTTCCGATGTCCGATTATAAAGAACGTGACACATAAAATCGAAAGGTAAAATCGGAAGAGTAGGAGTAATAGTCGAAAGCTTAACATGGAATGGTGATAAGGTTAAAATGAATCGATACCGGGTATGCAAAGTTCTCGATTAAATCGAAGGGAAGGCTCGTTTTCGTAGATATCGTAACCTCGGTTAAACCTTGAAAGGAAGTAGTCAAAACGCACGTACGGAAAGCAGTTTCTAAGTGATGGAAAAGTCGAAGATCGTGAGAACATGGGAAAACTGTAAAAAGAAACCGTCATACGCACGAAGAACGTGGTAGCAGTCTCGTTAACTGCTCTTAGGAGGCTTGAACAACACCCTATAAATAGAACAAAGAAAGGAGAAACAGGGGGGAGCGAAAATTGGCGGAGCACGGAATCGGTAGTGAAAAGTCTACGGAGAAACGACGAACACCATGAAGTTTACGGCGATCTGGATTTCTTTGCTCACGGAGTACATTTATCGTTTTCTTTATTTTCCTTGGTAATTTACTTTCGAGCAATTTCGATTCAGCAATTTCATGTTTTGTACTTTACATTCGATATCATTTTGATTCAATGTCAAATTAAATTCCTGCATTTAAGTATCTAGTCATTCAATATTCCGTCTATTTCGATTTCGCATGTTCGATTTCCGTTATTTACTTTTCGCGCAATCTTAATGGGTTTAGCACTTTACATTGTCTCGCACTTTAAAGTTTCCGCTTTCTCGATTTGACGCTTTTATTGCTTTCGATACTTAAAATCCAAAAAATATCAAAAATAGAGTTTTCGATACATGTAATTGTCGATTCTCATACACGTTATCGATTGAAAATCAAATTGCTATGCTTCAAGTCGAGAAAGAGCTTACGTGGTAGAATTTCGATTAGGACTTACACACTTTAGAATCGAAATCAATCAAAATTCCACAGAAACACGTACTCCATAATCAAGCTTGTATGAAAGAATAATTATCGGAGTAATAGAAAAAGACACGTAGACTTGTATTGGTAAGGAAAAAATATCCCAAAAAGATTCTCGATCCTTATAAAAATATTTAGTATCTATCCAGGAATGAATAATATTATTGAAGATTACATGGTATCGACAAGAAATACGTAGAGAAATACAAAGAAGAACAGCATTGAAGCGTGAGAACACTTGAATATGTCAAAACCTAGAAGAAAACCGAGTCAAAATCATCCAAACGGAAATGGAAGCGCCGAACTACACCCAACCTATGCCTTGTCTTCCAGACCTAGGACTGTTAATATCATAACCTGACATAAGGTTATTAAGGAGAAGAAGAAATATTGATTTTAAAAAGTGTTATTTATCCCTATATAGCTTATTAAATAATAAATGTCTCTTATATATAAAAATATTATTTTCTTTTTAATGAATTATTTTTGTATCATTTAAAAAGTAATTAGGAACAATTATAGGATCACTGTATGTATCTTTTCTTATGACCATGTAATAATATAGTTTTTATATTTATTTATTTTAATTTTTTTTTCACTCCCTTTTATTTTTATTTTATTTTTATTTTGTACTCTCATTATTTTACTATTCTCTCTTCCCTTTGTTCTCCTTTCAGTTTCACAGGATGGATGAGTAAGAACAAGGATATAAAGAAACAGCTGTTGGAGTTATCTCAGTTACCCATCTTCTCTGTGTAGCTTCATTATTACTACCATCACGTTCATTATTTCTCTTCACCTAAGCTACCACCTTTCCCACATTCAACCTCAACTTTCTTTTCTCTTTCTCTTCACATTGCCCCTAAGAAAAATTGCAGCTATTGTGTTGAGAGAGTGTGAGATTCTTTGGTTCAAATCTAAAATTCTCATTATTATTATTTTTATCATTCTTCACTCCTTTTGGCATAAACATCTCTCTTTTTCTCTTTTCCTGCTTCACTAGTTCATCTTTTGGTTCGGGATCTTCTTCACCTACAAGCCCCAACCTTAAAGATTTGATTTTTCCATCCATGCGTAGTGCAAAACCGAAACTTTCCGCTAACCCATTTCAAATGCGGATCTCAATTACACCCCACATTGCTCAGATTTTCCGGTGATCGAGATCTAGGGTTTTTGCTTTCCCTTTTCAAAGCTTTGGCTGAAATCACCACTCGGTTCGATTGGTTCCGATTCGTCCTTCATGGGCTCGATTTTCATCTGAAAAGTTCGTAATTCGTTGATTTCAGCTTCTGGGTCGCAATGCTCAAGCAAATCCTCAGCAAGCTTCCTCGGAAGTCGTTCAAATCCGACACGGACGAGTCAACTCGGGGTGACTCGGCGCGTTCCTCCGATTCGCCACGCCCCGTGGGCAAAAGCCAGAGACCACATGGCGGTAGTTCATCCGCCGCGAAGCGAGCTTCGTCATCGGCGGTGTTTCCGGCGAGCATGGTGTCCGGATTTGAACCTTTGGTGCCGTTTAAGGATGTTCCTAACGCTGAGAAGATGAACCTGTTTGTGAGCAAGTTGAGCCTTTGTTGCGTCACATTTGATTTCAGTGACCCTAGTAAGAGCATTGCAGATAAGGACGTGAAAAGGAAGACTTTGGTCGAGCTTGTCGATTTTGTGGCTTGTGGGACAATGAGGTTTAGTGAACCTGCTATCCTTGCTTTGTGTAGAATGTGTGCTTTCAATTTGTTTAGAGTCTTCCCTCCTAATTATAGGACAAGTGGTGGTGGTGAGAATGATGATGATGAGCCTATGTTTGATCCTGCTTGGCCACATTTGCAACTTGTGTATGAATTGCTGCTTAAGTTTATCTCTTCTTCGTGCCTCGATGCAAAGGTGGCGAAAAAGTATATTGATCATTCGTTTATTGCCAGATTACTCGAGTTGTTTGATTCGGAGGACCCTAGGGAAAGGGATTGCCTGAAGGCGATTCTGCATAGGATTTATGGGAAGTTCATGGTGCATAGACCCTATATTCGGAAAACAATTAACAATATATTTTACCGATTCGTGTTTGAGACAGAGAAGCACAGTGGGATTGGTGAGTTGTTGGAGATTTTTGGGAGTGTTATTTCTGGGTTTGCTTTACCCTTGAAAGAGGAACACAAAATCTTCTTGTGGAGGGTTTTGGTTCCCTTGCACAAGCCGAAATCAATCGGGGTCTACTTTCAGCAATTGTCCTACTGTGTTATGCAGTTTATAGAGAAGGAGCCCAAGTTAGCTAGCATTGTGATAAGGGGTTTGTTAAAATATTGGCCAGCAACAAATAGTCAGAAGGAGGTCATGTTTCTGGGTGAACTGGAAGAAATTTTGGAAGTAATTAACATGGTAGAGTTCCAGAGGATCATGGTTCCTTTGTTTTGGCGGATTGGATGCTGCATAAACAGCTTACACTTTCAGGTAAAATTTTTGTACTGAATTCACATGGTAAATCCTCATCATTTGCATACTTTTAGTTTTTGTTAGTTTTTCACTTAAAAGGAATTAGATCCATGTTCTAGTTCTTTATTGCAATCTTTATTTCTGTTAATATATATTGCAATCTTTATTACAGACATGAATATCTTTCTTATTTTGTTTTGTAATATATTTTAAGTATGGAAATTTAGGCAAATGCTTGATAAGCTCAAGCATTCCAGTCATGCAGTGTGGTTGGCTAGTTTTTTTTTTTTTTTTTTTTTCTTTTCTTGGACTTCTCGCTTTTTCCATATTTGAGTAAGTTTCTGCAATAGCATTTGTGTCCTAATAGCCTCGTTATGAAGCAAATTTGTGTAAGATATAATGACATTAGTTAAATGTTAGTGGTGCTATAAATGGTATTTCAGTTAAATAGCTGTATTTAGTTTCAACATTGGATATCTACCAAAGGTTTTCATGGGCTTCAGATTTTGAGAAAACAGTTGTTGTGAATGTGAATGTGATGTAAGCTGGTGTGGCTCAGATACTGCCGTGGAATTAAGTTATATTAGTAATAACTTAAATGGTCTTATCAGAAGTTTGAACTTGGATTTTTCAGAGCATAGGTAATGTGTTTTTTTTTTTATTGATTTTTAAGAGAGGAACTGTACTTGATGATGGAACAAACTTACGGTGTTGGAGTTTGCTTCATCCAACAAGATTTATGTTTGTTTGTGCACATTTATTTTAAGTTTTAAAAAACTTTGGATGTGATTTGGGAATGTAAGCTTAAAAGATTAATTGGGAAATACCCTAAATGGGTCTTACTTGATAATATTTCACTTTGGTTTAAAGATAAAAATAGATCTTGTTTGGATAAATTTATGCATAAGCACTTGCAATAAATGAAAGCATTGTTAATTACTAAAAGATACATTTTTCTGTTTGTATTCAACACGGATTGTTGCAGGTAGCTGAAAGGGCCCTTTTCTTATGGAACAATGACCACATTGTCAACTTGATTGCACATAACCGGTCAGTGATCCTGCCCATCATATTTCCAGCTTTAGATAGGAATGTTCAAAGCCATTGGAACCCGGCAGTTGTCAACCTAACTCACAATATGAGAAAAATGTTCTTGGAGATGGATGAGAAGCTCTTCATTTCTTGTTATAATCACTTTAAGGAGGAAGAAGCAATCTTGATCTCTGCAGCAGAGAAGCGAGAGGAAGCATGGAAACAACTAGAGCATGCAGCCAGTCTCAGGCCTGTTATTGGAAATACTGCAGTGTTAGTGTCCTGACCTGCATTGGATACTGCATTCTCAATCCTCTTTTCACTTACCTCATGTTATGGTCGGAAATTATAAGAAATTTGGAATAGTCGGTTATTGGGAGTGGCATTTTGTTTTTGAATCCTATGTTCTTATGATGCTTCTGGTAGCCAGATGAAGAAGTGAGAGGGTTTTCATGGCTACTGTGGTACATGATGAGAACCATGCTGTGAATGAACCCATTTTCTGTGTAACTTTATTTCGAAAATCTTCTGTGTATGTCCTACTTATACTTACATTATAGTCATCAGGCGCAAGTCTTCATCCCAAGCCAATGACTCATGCTCCCCACCTGAGATTTAGTATTAACCAGTAATAATAATAATTAAAAAAAACTATTTGAATTATTCCGTCGGTGGATTGTGTATTTTTTTTTTTGTTAGATATGTAAATTGATGGATGGTTATTTTCACCAGAACAGTCAAGTATTCAATTAAGCATAGAATCATTTTATGATCCAATTTAGATAATTAAAATAATAAACGATCCAATTCAAAAAATAAGATTTAGTCAGTCTGATTTTATATCCTTAATAAGAAAAATATTTTCTATTGTTAGAAGATCTTAAATGATGAGAATCATTGAATGATTCAACTTAGATAATAAAAAAAATGAACAATCCAATTCCCTAAATAAGATTTAGTCATTCTGATGTTATATCCTTATTAAGATTGTGATGACCTTTTTAACTAAGATGCTGTCATATAAAATTAAAGTTAAAGTAAACATCAACCAACATGAGGCAAGTTTTATTACAGAGGAGGCACTTGCATTGCCTGTTGCCAAATGGCTACCTGAAAATGATGTTTAACTTAGATGCCAATAACTACAATTCTGTGCTTTAATTAATTGTATCACGATGTAACAGTTTATCGTTACAATATCTGCAAGTACCAGAGTTGGGTACCTTTCCTACAAGTTACAGCTAGTGATCAGACTGTAATTGGGAATTAGATGGTCAAATAAATAATTACAACCAAGGGTAACACACCTTTCTTCTATCTGAAGTTCCAAGAGTCAATATTTAGTCTTCAGAAATGCCATCATATACAGTTTTATACTTCAGCCTCGAAAAGTGACTGCACTGGTTTTGGAGACAAATTTGCCACGCTCATGAACTGTCACAGGAAGCAAAATTCACTGTCATTAGCTTCTTCATTAGGCGTTCACTTGGTTTAATCACATGGAGGGGAGGCTAAAGAAAGTAGAACAAATAAACGTATAGCATGTGACAAGTTCATCTTTTGGTCTGTGTATTTCTACCTTCTGCTGTTTATATTTTTCACGTATAGCATTCAGAGGACAGCCTTTGTTATCAATCTGCAAATCTGCCAGAGCAAGGACAGTAGTTTTAAGCTCTGACACTTTGTACTTCGTATAATGTTCCATAGTTGAATTCTGCAAATAAAAGCACAGTTGAGTCTTTAATTTAGATTTATTCACATCCAAATGATAAGGTAAATTGTCAACTTGCAAATAGTCATGGTAAACTACAGACCCATGGATGTTCTGACTGGTTGAGGGTCCATCTCGCAAGTAATACAGCAGACGCAGCTATCAGGGAAGGTAGAAACTGCGAGAAGCTGTATTCAACAAGAGTGAGCTCTGCTAAATAATTTGCCAGAAATTCCACTTCAACATAAGAGACCTGTACAGAAAATTTACAACACAATGGGTTTTGTTTGTTTCCCTCTTGAGCACAATAAAAAGTCGAATTGTGGATGCTCAAATGGCAAATGTAGTCTATAGTACCTCAAAAGAATATTGTGCTGCTAGGATGAACCTCCTGAAAGAGACAAGATAGTCATAGTTCAGTTACACTTTAAATAACAAACAACGTAAGTACACAACAATAATTACTAAGACACTAACTTTGTAATGCTTCATTCTTAATATGTCTCCTCATCCAACACAACATTCTCACTTCTATTACATTGAGTTTATTCTCGTTGGTTTTTTTACTGCCCAAATTTTCGTTCCATACATCACATGGGTGTTTTTCTAAGAATTCATCACTTGTGCAATTAAAATTTTTCATTAAGCTTGGGTACCTTTGGGTTACAAATAACACTAGCACTCCATTTAGTTCACCATACTTGAATCCTATGGTTTACATCTTCCTCTATTTCTCTCCTTTCTTTAGTATGATGGATCCCTTTTAGTGAAACTGATCGACTTATGGTATGGTCTATAACTTTTACCTCTAAGCTTGTATTAATGATTCTTAGTAAATTTACATTTCAAGTACTGTCTTATTTCTATTTAACAATATCATGTACTTCCAAAGCTTATCTTCACATTTCTAGCTTCCCGTATATTATCTCTAAGCAATTCAACCACAACTCTCAGTGTGTTTGAGTATCCCTTCAACTCCCAATGTGATGGAATTGGCATGCAACATTACTAGGAATTTGAGAAACATGCATCATGACATCGGCTCTTGGGATATGCTTTTAGTGAGCAGATCATTCGACTGAAAGTTTATAATACGCACCTGAGAAATGTTTTAGCGGTGGGAACCGATAATTGAAAATGCAACAGATTTAGAACCTCACTCTCCATTTTCAGTACCTATCAAGTGCCAATGATTAGGCGTTGTATATGTCAATATCAAGTGCCAAATGTTTCAATACTACCAAATGTTATACCTCTGCTTTTGTGTACGTATTGTCTGTTATGAAGCAAAATTCTTCTACTCGAGGAGCACAAATCTCTTCATACTTTCTTAAAAAGCCATGACAAAAAAAATACATGACAAGCAATTTAGAATTTCCTCACAACTTTGAAAAATTGAGATCATATCATATATTGCCGGTTGTCCCCGACAGATTCACCAACTGCATTCAAGATCAACAGCGTCTATAATAAATTATAATACAGCAATTTTGCTATATTCTAACTCTTCACTGTTATGTAAAAATAGCAAAGCATAGCAAAAAAAAAAAAGAAAAAAAAAAAACTATCTCTTTTTCCCAAGTTATTGTGATCCCAGGAAGAATTTGTAGAACCCCAAGTTATAAACCCACACTAAAATTCTATATTTCCAATGTGGACCTCTCTACCCACGACCTTATAAACCTCCCTAGAATCTATTTCAATGTGGGGGACGGACTCAAGCCCCCATACCTCAATTGGAACCTAGCACAAATACATATTACACATTCACTGTGAGTTGCAGATTTATTAACGAAAATCCAAATAAAATTTCCATACAACCTTTTCAACTTTATATCATACAGAGAATCATGAGAGTAAAATTTATACCATATGAAACCTGTTAATTGAAAAACACAAACAATTCAAAGACCAACAATTAAGTAATAATCATCAATTCATCGTCACACTGAATTGAGGATGTAAAATATATTGTGGTACCAACGACGTTATAAAATGCTAGGTATTCATTGTTCTGAGTTCAGAGAGAAGCATAAAAGAACCTAAAGTAGTGCACGTGGAACTTTCATATTAATTAATCCGGGCCAACTGGACATTTATAAAAAATATTGTACTTACGATGCAATCAGCATGCATGTAACACCCAGTAATTGCAGTCCTTGTTTCTGAATAAAACTTTGAGAAAGAAAACGATCAATGAGATTCACAGTAAGGTAAAGAGTATCTGGAACTAGCTTATATTCCTCAGAAACCTGACAAGAGGATATAACAAAGCTTCAGCTATAACCCATTCAACAGCCTAAGAATCAAGGAACTCAGCTAACAGTAATTGATTTTTTTTTTTTACTCTATTTCCAATGTGCCTTTACCATGGATAATTAATAAGTTATAAAATTTCATCTCTTCTCTGTATATTTAACTGTTTCCATAGAAAGCTGTCCATGAGAATGCATAACAAGATTTTTTGCGCATAATTGCCTAAGGCATGGTGATAAATTGATAATGCTTGAGATGAAATTGAAGTGGAGTACTGAAATGAAACACCAAATTTTATGAACTTACAAAACTACTACATGTAGAGAAAAAAGGAAACTTGGGTTAGAAATTAGTACACAGTTTCCCAATTCCCACTTGGCAAACACCAAGAAATAATAAATAATCGTTTTTTCTGAGATTAACTAAAAAAAATTTATAAAAGGGTGACCCAATGCACGAGGCTTCAATCTGGTGGGATCTAGGAAGGTACATGCACCTTCTCCCATATATCGAGAGGTCGATTCTAGGATTTGAACTCTTGATCCAGGTCATGCGCCATTGTACCAAGGCTCACCCTCAACTCATCAAAATCTGAGGTTAACTTAAAAACTAACATGGTTGGAGAGTATTAAAGAATGTAACTGAGAAGTAAAAACACATGGGTTGGTACTGTCTAGTTGATTATTTTAAAAGTTTCTCTGCAATAAACTAGAGAAAGTCAAAGATGTGCAACCGTCAAGATTATGCAAAAGACCAAACATTACATTCGGGCAGTCGAACTACACAGAGAGTGAAATTTGCAATAAGTGACAACTAGTGAAAAAAGCTTAAGTTTCCATGAGAGAAACCTCCACAAGCCAATCAATCAGAATTCCTCGCATGCTTGGATTGATATCTTGCTGCAACTCGCCCATGTAATCGGTTAAATGTCTTCTTTCAAACTGGAAAGATTTAACCAAAATTTCTTATTAAATTTTTATAGTGAAATTTATCCATTTTTTCCTCAGTTCTATATACTCTATCGTTGTTAAGAATGTTGTCATAAGCTGTCAAGACAGTCATTGAGGAAATAGAAGAAAAACAGAGATCATAACATGTTAAAGAGAAGCTAGTTACAATGTCACTAGTAGTAAACTACGAGAAACAATCCAAATATCAAATGACATGTCTACAACACTAACCTCTCGGACACATATATTATTGTATATATCAGGGGCATATGAACTCCAAACTTGAGGATCTTTTAACTCCACTGAATCAATGTCCACAATGCCCACATCATCCGAATGTTTTAGTTTCTCTGAAATCATATCAATGTCTGCATAATCCAATCAAAATATAACAAAGAAAATCAGGTGTTTATGAAAAACTAACTTGCATGTTATCTTTCTTATAATTATTTTTTATGCGGGAAATCATATAATTTCTGTAAGGTGTCAGTGTGTAAGATTTTTATAATGTCAACCAATTAAGAAATACACTAGGTATGACGTTTAAAGCAGTTGTTCAAAAGTCAACAATATTGCTATACATGATAATCTATGAGTGGATGAAAGTTATATTCAAATTAAATCCATATCATAAGAATAAAATTCATAAATAGCCATCAGGTAAATTGATAAATAGCTTCTATATTAAGGTCTGTAAACAGGTAGCATTCAGTGCCTCTAGGTAATAGATATGATGAAATATTGAAGATGATATTTTAATAGACAGAAAATAAGTTATATATGTGAGCAAACAATTAAAAATAAAGACATACAAAAGAAAAGGTACAGACTCGTGTTACAAAGAAACAGTTACCTCATTTTCAACAAGATAGTGAGATTCTAAATGTCAATTTTTCAATCATCATCTCATAAATCGCATAACTATAGTATAGTACACCAAAAATGCTTACTAGCAGTGACACAAAAATTATTGAAAAAACCTTGATTTGGAGAGCCAAGGAGTTCATCAGACTTCATAGAGTCCTGCATTGAAAGCAGGGGTCCTGCCATGACAGACATAGAAGGTTGCACTAGCTCTCTGTCTTCCAGCCTTTCAGCTACAACATCATCATGTGACTGTACCAGCGATATTGTGGATAAATCTTTCGCTGACTTTGCTCTAACATCTTCTTCAATTGACAAAACTTGCATGGAGACATTACAAGCTCCCTTTGTACTTCGCTTCTTATAATCTCCTCTTGTCTATATAATCACAGATATCACTAACTTGTGTCATGCAACTTAAAAATAACCTCCTCACTCTCCATGTTTATAGTTTATATTCTAGTAATTCCTTAAATTTATAAATCCATGTTAAGAAACTCCTTTATTAGAATCGAAGTGTTGGAAGCATTACAAAGTCAAAAGTCTTTCATCCGCAATTAATAGTTATAAATCGCAGTTGGAATCGCAGCCATTGCGGTTAAAAGTATTGTGTGGTGGCAGCAGCAATGTGAATTGTGGCAATTGGGGTAAGAGATTAATTATATCTTTTTGTCATGAATATGGTTTACAAGTGTCTCTAAGGCTAATCTGACTCACTTAGAAAGTGAGTAGAGTTTGGCTGAAACTGTTTCCATCAATGATCAAACTCGGACAATAGTCGAACCATTCCACCTCGAGTAATGCAGAAAGTAATTAAAAAGTAATTATAATTACTTGTATAGTTTCTTTCTAAAGTTGGATAGAGTTTTATTGGGTTACATGGCTTACTCCGTCCACTATTTACTGACTTTTTTTTTTTCAATTTGGTTTCATGGACAATTACACACTGACATGTATGCTAATGTTGTATATTATTGATGATGTGTCACAGACGGACATAATAAATATGAGATACATAGTCATAATCATCGTAGTCTCTTCCGGTAGCTAACTTAAAACGTTACTGACTGACTTTGAAAAAAAAAATCACGCCGAAATTAACAATAAGATAAAATTAAAAAAAAAAAAACAACAAATAGTGGGGCTCATTGTGCAATTTTATTTATTTTAAATCATGTACAGTTTTCATCTCACTATATGGCTACCGCATTCCTTTTTACATCCCACATTATCCACCCACTTGACCACCAATAGATAGAGTAGAAAATCGAAGTTTGTATCTTTAGTTATTTATTTTTTTACAAAAAAGGTGCAGCTGGGTCCAGCTGTGACTTTATTGCGTGCCAATTATGCATGCTTGACAATAATTCATGTAATTTAAACTTACACTGCAATTGATGACTTTGCACAATTGTAGAAGTCTGTGTCAGTTAGTAAAATAAAAAAATAAAAGCAGTGGATCATAGGTTTTACAAATATCCAGCACTGCGATTTTGGCCACAATGCTAAACTTTTTAGGGTGTATGCCGCCTCAACTGTGGCAACATAAGCCAGCAATATCAAGAACCCCACGAAAATTTCAACCCCAAAAGACAACAATTTAATGTATACCTGAAATTTGGATGTAGCACTGCATACATTAGTTACATCGCTCAGCGCGGCTCTGCTCTTATCCAATTTGTGCGGCTTCTTAAAGTGCGCTCTTGAAGAGACAGAAACCTTTCTCACAGCTCTCGCCATTGCTCGCGTCACTCGAACACCGTCTTTCATGCCTGGAAGATCAACACCAACCTGAGAAGCAACAACAAATCACCGCAACACAAACATCAACAATAATACAAGCAATACTAATAATAATAATAATAGGAATAATAAAAAAAAAAAAAAACACCGTCCTGAGTCATGAAACGCAAACAAACAAATCATGTTGTTAAACCTCGGTGAAAAGCCTATCTCTAATCTATTACCAGAAATTCAGGCAGCGATTGAACGAGTGATGATACGACAAATTCTAGAAGTAGTGTAATGGTAATTATCATTAAGTTCCATCGAATTGAAAATTGAAAATGATAGGTTAAATTGTGGTAACAGCAGGCAACAATGGCAATGGTGGTTAGATCTGTGCATGAGAATCGTAACAAATAGCGGTGGAATAGAAACAAAGTGAAGGAAGGTTCTGGAAGAATATGTTTGTTGAGAATGAGTTGGGAGATATTCTTACTACAATCTCATATCTGGCGACCTTCAAATTGAAAGAGTGAGAGAGAAAGCTGGAAATGGAAGACAGAGTGAGAGAAGAGTTGAGTAGTAATAAAAGCGGAGCGTGAGCGGGAGAGACAAACACAGTTTAAACTCTCCGAAATCTAAACGCCACGATTATTATCTCTTTTTTCTTAGATTTTGTATTTTTTTTCTATGAAATTCAATTTTTATTTTAATGACTATAATAATTTATTAGATTTTTTTTCTTTATTATTCTAGTGTGAATCAACATGAGTGATATACGGTTAGGTTTTATAATAATGTGAAATGTTATGATATTTTTATTTTTTAATTTTGTTTGTAACGTTCTTCATTAATTATAATAGAATCTCTCCTTTTAACTATTTTCTTATCATTAAGTTATAATTTTTAAGTACATATTAAGTCCTTTAGAGTGAGTTTCACTCATATCATGATGTGGGTAGGTTTAGATTTATTTTTAATTGTTATTCATGTAAAATTTAATTTTAAAATTTATATTTAAGATTTGTCGTATTTATTTATTTTCTATAATATTACATTTATTTATTATTTGATATTTTGTATAATCAATAATGTTATTATTAATTGTCTTATTAGTCCTTTCCTATTATCATAAAAACATAAAAAGAAATAAAAAAAATTATATATATATATATATATATATATATATATATATATATATATATCTTTAAGTTATGTGACAAAATATTCAGCTGCATGTGATCATTAGATGAGGAGAATTTCCATCATAAGAATTTTAACCACATGTATATAAATTGTGAAATTCAAGTAAATTAATGGTTAAAATTCTTTTTAAATGAGAATTTGTTTTTCTTTTTATGAACTCCAAAATAAGTAATTTTTTTAACAAAATAAATATTAAAATTTCCAATTTTTGGATTATTGTTTGTTTCTTCTTAAATTGCTACATTTTGTTATGATCGCACTTAAATGCAGTTAACTTTGTATGAGTGTTATTAAAATTATGATAGATATGTAAACAAGAACTAATGAGATTAAGTGAGAATAATGTTTATTAAAACCATATGATCTCTTAGTAAAGGCGAAGAAGCACCAAATTTGGTAAAAGAAAAGGTAAAATTTTGGAGTCCAATAAAAAATGGTCAAATGAAGACATGAAAGGAGATGTGATGGTAGTAAAGATTTAGTGACTGTGAAGGGAATGGTTTAACAAATACTACAACTTTTATATTATAATGACAATTTATTCAAGTTATGTTGCGTGTGTGCAAAACCATCTCCTCATTATAAACAAAGAAAGTAACTTTCGTTAACGAATCTCGAAATCATTGACTAATTACAAATGGGTGGGATCTGATTTCAAAATTCACTTACTACTAAACAGTATCCTATGCTTAAAATTCAAAACTCACAACAAACCCTAAAGCTGTTAACTTTTTCTTGTACACTTAGAATGTTACTACTTCAATCAAGCATGAGGTTGCTGCTCACATGATTCTTGAGATGTTGTGGTTCATCATTTACACATTCATTCACAGGAACATTAAAAGTTCCTTTTATGTGTTGTGTGGGTTGACAGCTTCTGCTGCATTTGAAGTCATTCATGGCTGTGAAATTATTGAAGTTTCATGGCCCACCAATGGGAGTGAATTGAAGATTTTGATACAAAAGGAGTTCCAAAATGGGTGGATGGATTCAACCACCCCAACTGCAGCAATAGATTGGTTTGAAATTGTTGGAATAACATCAAACAAACCAAGTGTACACACATTCCACTTCAACATATGATATATTATATCAATATTTTTTTATTTTGTTAAAATTAATATTAAGTATTCCAAAATATTTTTTTTATCCCTCTAATTTTATATATTTAATTAAATTTATTAATCGTTGTTCTATAATAGAGATAATATACCCATAAATCAGAAACTTAAAAAGTAAATTGTACGAAAGAATTAGGGATTAAATCCGCGACTGTATATTGACCCACCACTGTAGGAGTTTTCTTCGTTCCCCGCTCCCATATGTCGCTATCTGCATTTCTTGAAGCTTTAACGATAGAAAACATGAGATGCTTATTATATTATCTATACCTCAAAAGTTGAGAAATTCATACATCTATTTTAATATTTATAAAAATATTTTCTATTAAAGACTATGACATTACATATAAAAATAAATAACACAAATTAAAATATTAAAAACTATAAATCATTTATAATAATAAATATATACTAATTTTGTTATTTTTATGTGTAAAATGTTGTCGATCACAATAAATAAATTCACATTTATAGATAAATATTATTTTTTATATACAATGATTTTAAATATTTTAGAATATAAATATGTGTAAAAAATAAACATTTAACCAATTTTTAAATTTTGAATATGATGAATATTTAAATAAAAGTTTTTATTTTCAAAATTTTAAATACAAAAGATAAAAATAACAAAATATATGATTATTTGATTTTTTTACTATTAAAAAAATCTGTAAAATAAAATCTAAAAGATGATTTTGAGAGTTGAGAATATTTACACCAAATTTTTGCTGTGACATTATTTAATTATTTATTTTGCTAAAAGCAGATGTTGTTAAAACTTTGACACTCTCCTTATCACGTAGATTAACTCGAAACTCTTAAACTTTTGTTCATAAAAAATTACATAATCTATTTAGAAAACAAAAATTATATATTTTAAAATTAATAAAAAATACTTCTTCTAAAATTAAGAGAACTTTATTTTAACAATTTAAAGAAATTAAAAAGATATATTTATAATTATATGTAAAGAAAATTATTTTGTAATAGTTTTTTTGTCATTGGAGAAAGAAAAATAAAAAAATGATATAGTCTAAAAAAAAGTTATTATGATTTATACGTTTAAAAAAGTAGTAAAAATGTACGAAAGAAAAAAAGAGAGTATATTTAAAAATTGAGAGGAGAAAATAAAATAAAATTTTAAATAAAATTTTGAAAGAAATTAATTATAAAAAAAATATGAATATGCGTTAGGAGGGATAACCAATTGCATTGTGAATATCGACTTGTTTTGATCCTGAATATCGACTTGTCTCGGTCTTTAACTTGAGATGAAAAAATTAAATTGATGGAATGTATCGTTACGCATATTCTAATTTTTTTTTTTATATTTAAATTTAACCATAGAATATTAACTTTTTAATTTTTTTTTCACATTATATATAAAAATATTTTTTTATATTTTATACTTTTTTATTTTTCTTTTATTTTATTATTATTTTATCACATTATAATCAATTTAACAAATACAAATTTTTTTTTTAATATTTTTTATTCAATTTTATTATGTTATTCTTATTTGTTGTAAATTAAATTTTATCTTAATAAGATTATTATATTTTGAAGTATTAAAAAAGATTAATAATTAAAACTTTTATTATTTTTCACTAATTAAATAAAAATTAATTTATTAAATGTTTTTTATAAACTTTATATTTTATATTTATTAATATTTTAAAAAGACAGCTTAAAAAATAATTAATGTATATATAATAAAATATTTAAATTCAATGATATAGTAATAATAATATAAATATTCTATATTCATACAAAAAATTGAATACTTCTTTTATATATATTTTTAATATAAATATAATAAATTAAATTATATATTTAATTAATAATAATTATTATAAATTATATAATATAATTTTTTATTTATATATAAAAAGAGATTAAAAAAATAAAATTAATTTATTATAAGTATAATTATTTTTAAAAATCGTGTCGGAAATGAAAAATGAAGAGGTTAAACGGTCCCATGGTCACACCTCCAAAAACACTTAGCATTTATATTTCTATTAACATAATAATTATATTTTATAATTATTTTTCGGTGTCATTAGATAAAAAAATTATAACATAAAAAATAGTTAATGTACATTTAAAAAATAGAGAAAAAAAAATTTAAAAAATAATTATAGAAAATGCAAACATATATTAAAACATTTCTATATAAATAAAAGATTGTAGGATGAAAATGTTAGGGTAACAAGATTGTCCACCCTACAAAGCCTTTCATTGGCAGTTTGTGGGTTTTTGAGAAAGGGCAGAGAGAAGGATACAAAATTGGATCCCACAGAAGTAAAGGCCTAGAATTTGAAGGTACCCACTTTTTTGTTCTTTTATGGTTGTTGACTACAACTAATCTTCAAACTTTTATTCGTCATTTAAATTTTAAACCAATGTCTCTCTGTGACCCTAGATCAAGCTACCAAAATAAAAATACTACACTCTCACGTGAATATTCTACTTTTTTCTTCAATAATTCAATCTTTAAATTAAAATAGGATTTTCGATGGTTTTTATTCCTTTTAAAGATGAAAAAACATAGAAAATAAATTTAAAAGTTTTATTTTGCATTTTTTTCTAAAAACTGGAAACTTAGCATCGTCACCTAAATTAATATTATACGTATGAAGAACAACACGTATACCACAATTATTATTTATTAATTCATGGTATACATAAATTAAATTACAAAATCCTCGAAAGGTAAAAATAAGTGCTTTATATAAAATATAAAGAGAAGGAAAAAAATATTGAAATTGTGAAAAAAACATATTGAAGGAATAACTTATAGATAAGATGTTGAAATATGATATAAGAAAGAAACATTCTCCATACATAAGAATTGTACTATTATTCTTAACAGGGGAGGGCAAAATGCATGAACTTAGTTGAATTATCATAGGATTGAGTTGAACTTTACAGTGGTTCGATCAAACTGAAAAAATTGTATAATTATGCATACAAATTAATGAACTCCATTATAGTTGGAGTGAATTGAAACCTAAAATTCTTTTGAACTCTTTGAATTTCACTAGACATATAATTCTTCAAATGTATTTTTCAATCTCAAATTATAATTTAATTCAAGTTAAACATTTTTATTTAGTAGACAATTGTTAGTTCTAAGCTTTACACTCAAGAATATTATATACCATCTACAATGAGAGCGAGTTTGGGAGAGAACCAAGAACTTTAGATTTGGAAGTTTTCATTGTAGCAGTGGTTGAAAGTTAGTGTTTATAAAAATAATGTTTCTGTTCCATCTTTCTGATTGTGTCATCTAATTCAATGGCATGTAGGAGCAACATTTTTTCAATTAAATGCAAGGCAAGTCACTCTCTTAATGTTAACAAAATTATTTAATGGTAGGACTAAAAATGGTGGACAGAGTAATCTTTCAAGGATCATGAGTTTGTAGTAAATCAGGAATGATTAATTTGACGAGTAATTGACCTTCAAGGGATGGATTTAGTGTTTTGTACCGACTTGTTAAGAGAGATATCAAATACTATCAACTAGTGCAGAATTTTAAAATTCCATTGAACAAAAATAATTGAGGAGAAATAAGAACTGGAATTATCTGAACAGATTTAGCTCGCCCCTCGGGTGAAGATGTAGCTCATTGTCGCAAAGAGAAAGCGGCTGTGGCAAAGGAATTCCTTCAGCAACTTGTTTGAAGAAAAAGAAGACATTATTTTTGGGAATTACACACCAAAGATAATGTGCCATTTGCACTCTCTCATAGATCATACATTTATGAAGCACATAAACAAGTTCAATATTGTACTGTTTTTTTCTTTTTTCTTTTTCTGCAATATTCTTTTTGCACATTGGCACGTTGTTTTTGGATGAAGCACACAAGCACCAAATATTTCTACACTAACCTAAAGAATTGAAAGAAACCAATTGGCAAGCATTACAAAACATGAATAGAAATTATAGATTATAGATATCTGCCAGCTTACATTAAGAACCAAAGCAAAAGTTCTCATAAATTTATGATGCAAGAAGCATCAGTGATTTGTACTGGTGCTTCTAATCCTGTTAAATGGAGAGGAACAAATGGAGTTTTTCTTTCTAAGCATCAAGAAATCCTGCTTGGCATGGTCTATTACTTCTTCCACTGAGGAATCCTTTGAACAACGACCTAAAAGGCCATCATAGCAAATGTATTAATCCACTAGATCTATTGCACATGTGGAAAACCAATCTTAATTTTGAAACTAATCATTACTTGACCTGTCGATATTTTTTGCCTCAGTTTTTAAGACATCTACACCAATAGAAAAAAGATTCCTTACTCTCTAAATTTCGTTCACTTAAATGTGAAAGAGACTAGCATATGCATATTTACTTTCTGGTATAATTATCTTCATCATTGAGGGTCCCGTTGTAGACTTCAAATATGAATAGATATTTTAATGGCGCATGTAGTGAATTGGGATCAATTGATAGCAGATATTGAAACTTTACGAAATATGGCATCTAATCAGATTAAATTATTATAAAATCAAATAACTTTTAATTCAAAATATCCAATAAAACTAGACATGATCGTGGCATATGTTGTTTTCTTACACTCGTGACACCTCTCTCGCTACACAGAACACCTATTATAGCACAGAAAAAACAAAAAAATAGCTATGGAAAGTGAACCTTGATTTTGAAAGATACCTTGCCAGAGTTTTCTTTGTTTCCAACAATAGTTTGACAAGCCAGCCTCCAAGATTCAGGCTTCTGTTTAAATGGCCAAAAGCTTGGAATTAGAAAATCCAGAAAATTCAAAACTTAACATCATATCACCCCACCCTCAAAGTGTAAGATGACCTTTTCAAGAAACTAGTATTACAATAAAGAAAAGGCGTTATAAATCACCAGTAGTTCATTGTTTCATTGGAGCTGGAACTGCATTCAATTCAATAACCATGATATCAAATGATTTTCTCAGATATTATGAAATTTCAACACTGGCTTAGGTTATTTCATTCAGTCCAATATTGTTCAATTCAACTATAATTTTAGCCAGTTAAAATTGAACCATGACTTGAACAGAACATTCTTGTGCGGTGACTTTAAGAGGAAGAGCAAGCATGCCTTCTTAAGATATCTGAGTTCAGTATTGGTTCTTTCATTTAAAAGATCCTTTCCTTCAATAATCTGCAACAAAAGAATCAATATTATTTGCAATTAGAGATTAATGAGATATACCTTGTAAACAACCTTGAACATATTATGCCAAATGAAAAACTCAAGAAGTGAGAAGCTTCATACTTCATAAATGTTATGCTAACTAATTGACCAACACAACATTTCATGCTTCAGTTACACTAAAACAGAACTATTTACTGTGTTTGGAAGTTATCACTGTATACAGAGTTGAGAAAGTTTATTTTCAATCAAATGATAATTTTGTTAGAAAATACAAGTGTGATTCTATATTCCACGTTGGATAAGAATAAGAAAGTTGAGTAACATATAAGGAAGTATGACCCATAATCCAATGCTTTAAGGTTTTGGGTTGAGAGTGATGTCAATCCCTTATATAGGTTGGACTTATGTTTCATTGATGTTGTTCTTCCCTATAAATCCCCTCGAAAAAATCTAACAATTCGTAAGTATAACTCATAACCTAATGTCTTAGTTTTAGATTAAGAGAGGTGATGTTATTCTCTCCAATAAATCTTCCTCGAAAGACCCAACAAGTATATAAGATAGTTTACACACCATGTATTTACTAATTGAATTTTAAAGTTAGTAACGGGCTGAAGGGTTTTCTTACAAGAATTCATTTACAGAAGAATTAGAGTGTACTGTTTGATATTCTTCACACATTGTTTAAAGCACATCTTATGAGTTGTTCTCAAACATCTTCCGGTGTGAACAGAAAAAACAAAAACATGTTTTATAAAGCAATGAATAATGAAAGCGTGCGTAGGAACATACAGCAACAAAATTACTTACCTCTACGATGCAAGTTCCACAGCTACCACCTCCTCCGCAGTTCATCAGTTTCCCCTGTTCTTCATGAAGTTTAAATTTTGCAACAACTACATAAATATTATTTGAATATGTACTTAATTATTCTTGCTATATTGAATTGGATTTAGTTCATACAAACTTTGAGTTTTAAATTTATGTTTCTTATTTTTTTTTAAAAGCGATGTTGGAATTGATTTTTGTATTAAAAAAAAATGCATTGATAACATTATATGATATATTTTGTAATAAATTTTTAATTCTTACCTGTTTTCGTTACAATAATTATTACGAAATCTAATTCTTTACCTATTAGTTAAATGAAAAGTTGTCATGAGTAGAAAATCTTTAGACAAGTTACTTTTTATCAAATCTATATAAATGGGGTAGATTTCTAAAATCAGTAAGAAAAAGTAGAGTTCTTAAAAATCAAAATACAAATTCATTTTACGCAGAATAAAATAATGACAGATTCATTTATTAGTGAGAAAACTTCAGGTTTAATGAAAAAAGTGCATTATCAGTATAACAAGAAAAAAAAGGCTATCAACTAATAGAAAAAGTAGTTGTTTTTCCTCTCCGTTAGTCTTTGAAAAGTTTTGAGATAAGAATTACCAATGTAAGATGTTTTTCGAATTCACATCCGTTTTCTTCTTAAATAGTGTTTCCATTAGCTGAGAAAATAAAATATATATAAATTATTCTTAAGTTCGTCCTCAACTTCTAAACAATGTCATATACCGAGCAATATATAAATATACTTTTGATTACTTAAAATATTCATTTAAGCCTTAGTTCTTAAAATTTGTAAAATACTACCTTAATAAACACAAATTTAGAAAAGACAAATAAAAAAAATGTATATATTAAAATAATAGATATAAAGAGTTAATTAAATATTTTTAGTTGTAGAACTAAAAAAATATATAATAATAGTAAGAGTAAATAAACCTAATAAATAAGAAAAACTACTGCATAGCCATCGAAAATATGGTGCAAAAGGAGTTAGTGGCTGTAGATGATTGAAATCATGTGGTAAGAAACATACATAGGTGGCATAAAGCTCGATCTTGTTATCCAACATGATGTTCCTCAACAGCTTCTCTCCGCTTTTCGCTTTTGCTTTCTCCACCGGATTCTTCCCCTCACTTCCCGCTTTCGGCTGCAACAAACCATTTCCACAGTTTTCATTCCAAACTCTATAATCCTAACTAACTGTATTTGCATATGCTAGATTATTGAGATCAAAGTGAAAGCACAAATGAAATGTACATGTAAATGAGATTCATTTTAAATTTAATTGAAATTAGCTAGGAACAGGTTAATTGAACGATACCCCGATGAACTCGAGCTCTATTTCGGGAGGAGATTCCGCCGAAGTGGAGGCGAGAGCAACGGTGTTGGGACGCCGCCTGGGAAAACAGGTGGTCGGATTTCGGCCGTCGGCGGCGAGGGAAATGGTGGTGAATAAATTCATGGAAGTCATTCTGTTTCCTGCGAACTCTCTCTCTCACTCCCTCTGTTTTTGTGATGTAAAAGTGCAATGAGAATGGCAAATGAAACGTGTTGTGTGTGATTTCGTAGTTCGTGGTTCGATTCTTATTTATATTTGAAGCTCTGGAACTCGCTCGTTCTTACCAGTGAAGTTAGTATATGAATTTCAATTTTGGGTAGATTATTGAAGAATTTCAATAGAATAGTTTTTTATTGATTATTATGCATACGATTTTATGGTACATTAATGTGTTATTATTATTATTATTATTTTGTTAATAACATAAATAAAGCATGAACATTTTTAATATTATGCGAATTTAAAAAATAACTATTTTTTATTTAAATTGCATAAATTTGTTTTGAAAAATTCAAAACAATCCAATCAATAAAAATTAGTTATTTAGCTTTTATTTTCCCTAAATCCAATTCAACTAAGAAAATATTTCTAATTTTATGATAAAAAAGTCAAAATACTTACAATTTTTACACATTACAATTATCCTCTGTTTTTATTTCATAATTTTGATTTTTCTCGTGTTCTAATAGTCTACAAATGTAACTAAACCATTTGTTAGAAAGTTTATTGTTCATGAAAAGCTTCAAATTGATGAAGTTATCACTCATAAACTAAAAAAACTAACTTGAAAACGTGACTATATAATTGATAATACACAACATATTTTATAGTTTTGTTTCTATCAATATTTCATAGGGACTAACAACCCCATTTTACTCTGAAAACAAACCATTAGACCAAATATTTATTTTACAAGTTTTTGAAAATAAATGTATTATAATCATAATTTAAAGAATATGTTTTTAGTTTTTTTTTTTTTTAAAGTACAAGTCTTTGCATATGTTACTAAGTATGGGATGAGTTTAAGTAACTAAGATATGAATAAAGGATTTTTTTTAAAAATTAGACCTTAATAATAAATAAATAAATAAAAGGCATTTAAAAGTAAGTATGTTGTTACTTTTCTATATATATATATATATATATATATATATATATATATATATATATATAATTTCCTTACAATGGAATTCTTTAGTATATGTTATTTTTATTTATTTAAATCATATTGTTTTTCACTTGTAAGAACCGATAATTTTACCTCAAAGTACATTATATATAACTTCAATGTATGATAAATAGAGGATTCCAATATCTAGTGAAAACAAATATTAAATAATCATTTTAAGAAAAACTCAAAAATTTATTAAATCTTTTAAAATTCATTCATGATTATATTTATATTTATGTTTCGGATAAAATATACATTTTTATACAACATTATTTCAAGGACCCAAAATTTACTGGTTAAAAAAAACAATGGTTAAATAAAATAAAGTATGAAATTTTTACGATAAAATAATTTAAATATAAACTCTTACATTTTAAATTTTAATTTTAAAGAACCACTGTCTTTTTAAATTTTAAATTATTTTATTTCTCTTTAAAATTTTCTCACTCAATTCTTATATTTTTCAATATCAAAGCACATTATCGTGTTTCTAGCGGTAAGGAAAATATTTGTATCCGATTAAAATCATAAATATAGTAAGTTTTTCTTTCTCCAAGTTTAGAGAATTTTTACAAATTTGGGATTAAGGTTTTTTATGTGGAAGTATGAGTCTTACATGTGACCTTGATGGAGTAAAGATGTATCTTGACTAATTTAGGAATATTGTGGTAGGTTCGATTTGTTAATTAAGATTTTTTATGAGTAAGATTTGACTTCCTAATAAATTAGGGATTTGAAACTTTCAAGCTTTAGGGCACTCAAATTGAAATATAAAGAAAGTTAATTATTCTTTGATTTGCATAATTTTATAAGTTAGAAGATCTAGACTATGAAGATAACTTGGTCACATTATTGGATTCATAAATCTCAAATCAATAATCGAATCGTGAATCGTTTTTACAATTTTATTGAATTGTGAATCAAATCTTCTTATGAATAATAAAATACATGATAAATAAAATATAATATTTTAAGTAAAAATAAGTGTTAAAAAAGTTAAAAACATCATATATTATAATAAAGTCAAAATGTTCAATCCATAAAACCAAAGCATAATAATAGATGTCACTTAAATCCTATATCTTAATCATTTACTTTTATTCATCATTTCCAATCAATATCACTTAAATAATCTTTTTCCACTAATATAACATTCTCTTATAATTCATTTTCATCATCTTCCTTAACTTCTCCAACCATCTCTTTAATTTCATTATAATTCGTTGTTATGGTAGATTTTTCATTTTTGTCAACCTCATAAGTATTATAGTATTTATGATTAATTTAATAGTACAAGTTTTATAGTTTAAACAAATACCCCTATACATTTTCTTGCTTGGAGCTCCCTCTTCAAGAGTAGAAGATTCAAGTATATCCATCCATGAAACATCATTTGGTAGGAAATGATCATGTAAAAGAATATTTTCCTCAATTGATCTCATTCACTGATTTAGAATAAATACAATATACAAGTCGTAATCTTAGAAAACTAATTAGGTAACTAATAATATCAAACATATATTTAGGAAACTAATTATAAACTAAATATATGCTTACCTAAAATACAATAACAAAATATATTTACATATATCTTAACATCATCCATTTAAGTAATTCACTCATCATCTGATTTAATATCAGATAAACATAGGATCATAAGTATTCCTTTTCTCCTCTCTAACATTTTGCCTCATCTCAAGTTGAATATTATACTTAACAAATACGGGTATTTAATCTTTGTTACTCTAAGCAATTTCTTATTTTAGTATGCACTTGATCAAATATACTCTAATTTCTTTCACATCTAGTAACATTACAAGTGAGACTTAAAATTCTCATTGCTAGATTTTGTAATTCTTTACCCTCTCCACCATAACTTTCCCACCAAAAAACTATAATTTCAAATAAATAGTCAACATTTATAATTGTGGAATTATGCTTTTAATGACTTGAAAAAAAAAATTATACGAGGTTGCTTCTTATTCCTAGTGTCTTGCTATGCTTCTTCCAAACAATCATGGGGCTTTCTTAAATCTATCTTGTTGGTCAAGTTGAAATCTAATCCTTTTATCTCGAGATTATTTTTCAATGGTCCCATACAAACCATATAAAATTTCACTATCCACATTGAAATTTTTGTCATAATAAAATCTAATAAAAATAAAAAATAAGTATTAAAGAATATTATGAAATTGTAATATAAGAAATTATAGTATTATAATTACTTACTTAGGATTAAGGTAGTAAGCAGTAACATGAAGAGGTCTATGTAAATGCAAATTTCAACGAATATTATCTTCCACACTTTTTATACCAAGAGTCTCGATTCTTGAAATTCACATATATTTTCTCTTTACTTCTATCCATAGCTTCATAAATATATGACATGATAGGTTTTAAGGCTCCATATACTTTCACAAGTGGAGTCACACACTTCAAGCAATATTTGATGGATTTTTAAAATCTATCATCACATAAAACAATGTTCACCACTTGTTTACCTTCAGCTTTACTAGACATGGTTACTAATTGTCCGTTCATGAGAGACAAATATAGGGATAGCAAAATGGGTCATCCGTCCCGCCTTTGGCTCGCCAAAAGCGAGGCGGGACGAGGTGGGCTAGTTCGATATAGTCATGACGGGTGTAGACCTTGGTCCGCCCCACCATAATTTAGAAAAAAATAATTTATTTTTAAAATAAATTTTTTTAATAAATTTAATAATAAGATTATTATTTGTTTGTCAATAATTCAATATATATATATATATATATATTATTTCAATTTAATAATATAAATCAATACATTATTTTAAGAAATTATAATTTAGAACAATAATAAAATTTACATAATAATAAATAAATAAATATATATATATATATATATAAATAACGTTAAACTTATAAAATTTATATTTTTTATATTGAAAAATTCAAATACCTATATCTTTTTTATTTGATAAAACTTCATATTATTCTTGGTTGAGTAATTCTTACACCTTTAATTCAAGTAATAAGGATAAAAATAATCGAGTGCTTAGGATAAACAAGGAAAACGAGGAGAGAATGTTATGTGAGAATATTTTCGTGAGAGTGAAACTTTTTAATTCTCTTTGTAAAATTTGTAACTTTATATATTCTCTTTATATATTATCTTATATATTATCTTTATATATTATCTTTATAATTAATTTTATTACAATAAAAAATTATTTTTTTATTAATTAGGCGGGTCAGCGGGCTGGTCCGCCCCGTCCACGGGTTAGCCTGACGGGTTGGCGGGCCATAGCGGGTCAGTGGGCTGAAAATATCAACCCGCCTCGCCATATTATGGCGAGCTTGGCGGGTCGGCTCACCTTCCCTAGCCCGTTTTGTCATCCCTAGACAAATATAGATCAAAGAACATTCTTTTGTTGTGCTATATATTGTAGGGTGAGAAATGTAGTTGCAAATCTTGTGATTGTTGGTCGAGCTAATTCTTTTCCTTTAGAATGATTTTTATATAAGGTTAGGACTCATGTGTGCCTATAAATGAAAGTTGTGACCTTTTTTGCATTTGCAATGGTATTGTAAAATCCTGGAGCTGACCAATGTCTTCAAGAATTAAATCAAGGCAATGAGCTTCACAAGGAGACCAAAATAGTTTTGTTCTCTTCTTCTCTAACATATTTCATACCGCCACAAAATTAGAAGCATCATCTGTCACAACTTGACAATATTATCCTCCCCAATTTCTTCTATCATAGAATCTAATAGTTCAAACATTTGTTTGACTTCCTTGATCACATTACTAGTATCAATAGATTTTAAGAACTTTGTTTCACTTGGACTATTCACTAAGTTGGTAAGAGACCTCCTTTTTCCATCTCGTCCAACCATCACACATCAAAGTACAATCCCATTTTTCCAATTTAATCTTATATTTCTCCAAACTAACTTGAATATTGCCAATTGCCTTTTTC